GAACTAACGGACTATAAAATAGGAATAAACATCAGGACTAAAATATTATTTCAAAAATAATATGAAACAATATTAGGGTAAAATCAACAGAATTGTCAACTAATATTTTGTTCTGTTTCTGAGTTTGTTTCTGTCTCAGCTGAGAGAGGGACGTCTGGGGACAGTGTTTGGTTGTTCCCGGCACAGCATCGGTCACATGCTTCACCTCACTCCAACCAGAGAGACAGGTCAAAGAGCAGGAGGAGGGGGAGAAGCATCGGCAGAGGTGCTGTGGATGGGAACGACGAATCAGACGCCTAAGAAGGTCCTCTCTGACTGATGCTGACTCAGAACAATCAGATAAGTGGAAAACACTCTGAAATTAAGCAGTTTAATTTTTTAGATTTGAATAATAATCATGTTTAGGTTCATTTGAAGGGGTTAAATTCAACAGTAAGGGAAGTTACTGTAGCATGTTTAATGGTTTCATCAAAGAAATGCAAATCTGTTTGATTCTGAATATAACTAGTTATACATTATTTCAATAGTTAATTGTGATGTTTTCATTTCTGACACAAGAAAATATACAGTAATAGGACTGTCTTCAGCAACAGTTTTCATTAACTGCTAAGGTTTTCTTTTGGGGTTTACTGAACTAAGGTTGAAATGTATTAACAAATGTGTACTTTGTGTGTTTTGTTTGAGGGAAACACCTAAAACACCACTTTTGATGCTCAAAAGCTCAGAGTTCATTCCTGTGAAGGAGACGCCCACCCCCACCCCCACCAATCATCAATCGGCAGACCAAACCAAGCCAAACCAGCAGTCCAAACCAACGGCTAAATGCTGCAACTACAGAAGCAATGATGCAAAGGGTCATCCAGAGGTCAGACTCAAATCAACAACTTGACTCTGTGAGTTTTTGGGACATTTTGCAGATTTCCAAAAAATCTGAAAGACTGGGTCGACCGAAGACATCACCTTTGTGCAAAGATCTGAGGACTGGAGGCTTCCAGTTTTTGCTGTCGGTTCTGAAGTGTGTGAACAGGACAGAGGCTTCTGGACATGATGGGGCTGGACGTTGCTGAATGTAGAAGACATCAGGCTGTGGACGTGTCTACAACAGGCCTTACTGGACAATAGGCTTTCTGGTGTGGTGTTGAAATTGATAACCAAAGTTGACACATAGACAGCGACAGTAGCTCAGTTGGTAGTGCACTGGTCTTTGGACCTAATGGTTGTGGGTTCGATCCCACCACGACCCGTGTCAACTGCTCCCACTGATGTCTGCTGTCGTTGTGTCCCTGGGCAAGACACTTAACCCCAATGTGCCTGAAGTCCCCGCTGAAAGACCAAGGCTGCATCTGTGTCGAAGGAGCAGCCATCTTCCCAGGGACCCACCACCTGCAGGAAGATCAGCAAGGGACTGGTGCTGTGTGAATTGGGTGGCAGTTCCGATTGCCAACCCCCCTGACCCAGAAATGGAAAATAAAGGGATGTAAATGAAATGAAATGAAATGAAGTTGACACATTTCAAGTTAATACATTTCAGGTGAAAACATTCCAGTTTAATACATTTCAAATGAACGTTTAGTTTATACAGTTTGATGCTACATTAATTTGAGTAAATTGGGTATTTGTGTCTTTTTCATTTCATGCACATGAATAATTAGGAATTATGTTTAGTTATTGAGCCATTTTTAATGTCTCAAACAGGGGGGAGATATGGTTTATGGAGGAGCAATTACATATGAATATGAAATTATCTCCAAAAAAATTTTCGAGTTCTTTTGTGTGTGTTCTGTAACCAATGTGATTTTTATCAGACACAGGTCGAGAGGGGTCTCTAAGTTGAGTCGACACGACTTGGATTCCAATGTAAAACTGTGTTTGTATCTATTTCATTGTGTTCCGTCTTTAAGTTGCTTTACTAAACATTGAATGTGATTAATGATAGGGAATGATAGTAGAGTTGTTGGATTGTCATTAAAGTGAATGAATATATTCAAAGTTTAGACAGCTTTGGGTTAACCTACGTGTGTGGTGGGATGCAGCATTCTCCCATCTCCCATGAGTGAAACACCAATAAGCAGGAAGCCGAAAACATCTGTTTTCAGTAGATCTCATGTTTATGTAGAGGGAAGCCACGTCTTCTCTGAGGGAGAGGAAGGTTGGCATATTGAAGAAGATGGCAAAGTCTGGGATCGCGTCTTTAATTCAGACAGAAGACATGTTTTATTGTCGATGGTAGAGACAGCACGAACAAAGCACACGATCACAGATACAAGAGAATGCAAGTGTATTATACAGAGCGGAGGCATGGAGACCTCCAATCAGCAGCTGCTACAGTGCCATGTAGCTTGGCCTTCAGATAGACAAAACAAGGGAAAAGTACTGGCTTCTGCACATTGATAGAATGATGAGTTTAACTTTAACAAAAGTTGCTTCAAAGTGTTATGAAATCTCACAATATTGTTGCATGTGTTTCAAATTATCATGGTGTAAGACCAGAGCTCTTGGTCCATTCTTTGTCACTCTGCTGCTACATCTAGCTCTGACCCAGACTGGTGCAGTCTGTAAACATGTCTATGTGTGTGATGTCCAGAACACTGAGTAGTTTTTTCACAGCCTTGAGAAGATTTGAATGGTTGTGTGCCTTGTTGTTTGTAAATGTTCAAAAAAAACTTTGGTTGAATTGTACGTTATAAATACATTTGATTTGAATGTAAAGATATATATATAAAATAATAATAATAATAATAATAAAATAAAATAAAATCTTGGACACAGGACCCATGGCCTCCGGAGGACAAAGGAAAAGATACGTGTATCCACGTGTAGCCCACGTGCTATCTCCACAACAGAGACAGAGAGAGACCGGAAAAACTCTTTTCTTTCTAGTGAACTTCAGGTAGACCTGGTTAAAGCTCTCTTAGGAGTAAACACGCATCTGCTAAACAGATGCAAGGCAATTTTAATTGTATTTTATACAATCCAAAGTAGTTACTACTATATGTGTATTTTGGATCCAAAGTGTACCCAAAGTATACTTTGCATCTAAGATATGCATACACCTAGTTATCCTACAAATATATTTAATTACCCTACACAACCAAACAAGAATCCAATGAATGATTCTCAAGAACTCCTCAGTCCATTGTTTCTTTATTGATATAACCATATTTTTAAATATATAGTGCACACACGCACCCTTTTCTTATGACCTAATTACTCCACATCTATCTTTTTACTCAGAAGTACCACTGCTGGACTTTAGTAACACAGAGATTTCCATCTGAACGGCCCTCGCCGCACCATGCAACTGAGGTTTCCACTGCCCTGACGGGAGCGACACTGTGCATTTTGAATGCCTATGTGCAGTGATTGTGTGTCTCTATTGAAAAGGTAAACCTCATTCAACCCATGTAACACTTGTATCAGTCTGTAGGGGGCGCTCGTTGGGAAATCAATAGGCCCTTACCCCAGTCGGGGCTCGGGCCTAATAAGGAATTTTTTTCAGAAAATCTTTGAGCAAAAACAATATAGGTTTCCATAGTAACTAGGTTACTATGATACAATTGATACAAATGATACTTCGTTTTAAAGCGAACGACCAGACGAACGCAACCATTGGGTTCTCGACAACATGAGGTCACCCCCCCCTCCATAGGACCCCATTCATTACACTGTGTACTACAGCAGGAGCAAAGCCATTCAGTGCCTCTGGCACTGTTTT